TCCTCCAATACCTATCCGGTTTATGAGTACATCCGCCTATCTTCCCTAAACCACGAGGTACTACCCCTATCTCCTCCTCTACACATAACAGTATCATAAACACATTGGTTCTATTATACATCACAACAATACACACCAATTAATGTATGTCTATCAAACCGGTTCAAGTCCATGAACATTTCATATGATTAGTTTCAGTTTACTAATCATCAAGCATGTACTATACAACAATCAACACTATCGTCACCGATTAGCCCAAATGCAGTTATTCTAAACGAGAAAATATAACATGCACAAAATTGGATATTCAATCAACATTTCCATTTCCGTCATTTCTCGCAATTAATTATCTCAATTAATTAAACAATGTAATTAGGGCGCATTTTCCATAATTACCTTTCAACCCTTTAGGTCCCATTATTCATCAAATGATTCAACATTCAATTCCATTCTCTCCATGCAAACATGCATTTAGGTTTGATTATGAATAAACCACACTTTTGTTAAAATTACGCAAAAGCCCCAAACTTCCCAAAATTTACCAACAGAGCCCCAACATCTCAAAATTACCAAAATAAGACAAAACCCATAGAGAGGAAGTAGGAATCCTACCTCAAAATTCGGAGTCCCAAAGGAGAAAGACGACAAAACCCAACGTGCTCCAAAACCCTGAGATTTTCGATTAAAATGAAGCCCATCGAGCGATCAACACACTTTTTCTGTAAAGGCAAAGGTGAGTAAATCAACTCCTACATATGATCAAAAACCTTAGAGAGAACGTAGCATGTCTAGAGTGAGAGGACTTGCAACAATGGTGTTTTGGAAAAGTAAAGAGAAGAGAAAGCAAAAAGTGTTTTGGAAAAGTCACAATATTTTCGAACTGTTAACCCAGTTTTCTAACGCTCGAGCGTAACACTCACCGCTGACGCGGCTACTCAAGACTTACCGCTCGAGCGGCCAACCCTCCCGGCTCGAGCGCAGAATGTCACAAACTGTCTTGCGGCATAGCCATTTGGGCACTTTTGCAACCAACAGAATTCCTCCGGCTCGTAGCTCCCAACCCATTATCAGTTACCGTTCTTCTATGAGTCGTATACCAACAACTTGAGCAACAACAAATACTGGATGGGTGTATTTCTCCGCTTCCGAGCGCTCTAACCATCTCCGCTCGAAGGCCCGGCGACAGCCCACAAAAATACATGTTGTTAGTCAACTTATGTTGTTGGTTGTCTAGAATCAATTCAAACCTGAAATCAAACCCCACCACACATCCCATTAACTCAAATATGAAGTAAAGAAGGATTGCAAACAAGATATAGTCGGACTACCAACATATCTACAGACATCAAGTCTTGGAATCACGGATAAACAACAAGGCGGAGGAACGGATTGCCGGGGACCCTCGCTATAAATCCTCAGCATCCTTGTGAGAAATAAACTCACTGGAATTTATTCCTGAGTCAATCTCAAATGCTTCTAAACTCACAAACTTTAGAACTTGGGTTAAGAATGCATTTTATAGGGTCAATTCCGAAATCGCTTGGCAATTTACGATTACTCCAAATTCTCAGCTTGCAAGGAAATAATTGACGAGTGGGTCATCTTCTTTCCTCTCCAGAATTGAGCTTCCTCACTTCCTTGGTAAAATTGCAAAGATTTAAAAGTATTGTTGAATAAATGATAATCCTCTGGATGGCATTCTTGCAACAACTATTTGGAAAATCTATCTACTTCCTTGAGCACATTGACATACATCTTGTGGAATCAAGGCAACATTCCTAGTGAAATTGGTAATGTAAGAAATTTGGCATTCTTGTTTCTGCAACAAAATGGTTTGATCGGATTCATTCCTCTACAATTAAAGCGTGGAAAAGCTTCAAATGTTGTTGGATCTTTCCAACAATAGAACTGCAAGGGTCTATTCCAAAATGATATATGCCAACTCAAGAACATGGGTGATCTACGATTGAACCAAAATAAACTTTTTGGATTTGATTCCTGAAATGCTTAGGGAATAGTACATCTCTAAGATATCTCTACCTCAATTCCAACAAACTAACTTTCATCATACCTACAAGGTTGGGCAATCTTAAAGATATCTTGGAAATTAACCTGTCCTCGAATTCTTTAAATGGAAAATCTGCCACACAACTTGGGAGTTTCAAAGTTACAACACTAATAGATTTTTCAATGAACCAATTCATAGGCAAAATCCCAAGTAGCATTGTAGGTTTGCAAAAACTTGGTTAATCTTTCATTGGCCCAAGTAGTTACAAGGATCTATACCTGACTCATTTTGGCAGCATGGTGAGCTTGGAATTCTTAGATCTATCCTATATATGACCTCTCTGATGTAATCCCCAAGTCCTTAGAGACACTGTCTCATCTTTCATATCTCAACGTTTCTTTCAATAAATTAAGAGGACAAATTCCAAATGGGGGACCTTTTGCAAACTTCACCATTCAATCTTTCTTTGTCGAATGAAGCATTATGTGGTGCACAAAGTTTTCAAGTCCGCCATGCCATACTAGTTCCTTTCATCACCTGAGGGAAAAAAGAGTGGCTCTAGCTTTATATATTTTGTTACCTATTGCATTCATACTTCTTGCTACGACCTTTGTGTTCTTGTTCATAAAATGTCGAAGAAGAAATAAAATTCATCCAATGTTGATCTCTTACCAAAAGAACACTTCCAAAAATCACATACCAACAGCTTTTCCGAGCAACTAACGGGTTTTAGTGAGAGCAATTTGCTTGGTATGGGGAGTTTTGGTTCTGTCTACAAACTATCCTTGAAGAATACACAGTTTGGCTATAAAGGTATTCAACTTGCAAGTAGAAATTCAAGAGTTTTGACGTAGAATGTGAGATAATGCGACACATTCGACATCGCAATCTTACTAAGGTCATTAGCAGTTGCTCAAACCTTGATTTCAAAGCTATGGCTGGAGTATATGCCTAATGGGAGTCTTGACAAGTGGTTGTATTCTAACAACTATTTCTTAGCTATGTTGCAAAGGTTAGACATAATGATAGATGTGGCCTGTGCTTTGGAGTATCTTCACCTGGTTATTCAATACCTTTGGCTCACTGTGATTTGAAACCCAACAATATCCTGCTAAGATGATGATATGGTTGCACATGTGAGTGATTTTGGCATTGCAAGTTATTAGATTTTGGGAAGAGTGTCACACATATAAAGACCATAGCAACATTTGGGTATATTGCACCAGGTGACTTCCATTTTTTAATTTATATTTTCACAATTTTTTTTTTTTTTTTTTTTTTTTTTTTGTGTTTTCTATATATTGTTTCCAATTTATATAGACGTGCACTTTTCATATTAAGACACAAAATTTTAATATAATTTTCATAGAAATTTTTATGATTTTGTTGATTGCTAGCTAATTCTTTAAATGGTAAATTACACGATCTCCATTGAATGCTGATGAAAATATATTAAATTCCGCAATTTTAACATAAATTATATTGACATCCCTTTCAATAATAGAAAAATTAACAATGTTAACTTTAATTAGTAAATTACTTATTTGCCTTTACACATTATATTTTGTATTTGTCAAATTTCACAATAATACCAAAATAACGAAATTACTATTTTTTGCCACATGACCACCACTACATACTCTTCTTTCCCAAAACAACTCACCCATCAACACTTACCACCATTGCATACCCTCAAACACTCTCACCTTTTAGCATGCCACGAAATCCAACCACCGACACATATCAACTTGCCACCATCAAAATTCTATAATTTTCTTGACAAATGACATTTCTTTTGATTGTATGGAGAGTTTGGATTGGAAGGATTAGTGTCCAACAAGCTGTGATGTTTATAGTTATGGAATATTGCTTATGGAAACATTCACAAGAGTGAAGCCCACTGTTGAAATATTTTTTGAAGAATGACGATGAAACATTGGATGAAGGAGTCCACTACCAAATGCAATCTCTCATGTTATAGATGCTAATTTGCTTAACCAGAGGAACAACCCTCACTGCAGTTGTACTGCAGTGTGTATCATCCATCATGGAATTGGCTTTGAGTTGCTCTGCAGAATCATCCGAGGAGAGGATCAACATGAAGATGTTTCTCGCAACACTAAAAAAAAGTTGAACTTTGGTATCTAGCAAATTATGGAAGGAGTTGAAAGCAGAAAAGTTGGAACTTTGGTACAACATTCAAAAAAGTTAGCCAGATGCATTTGTAGCTGATAGTGATTATGTAGTACTTGGATTGCTTATTTTGTGCACTTTGTACCTTTTTTTTTTTTTTTTTTTTTTTTGCAACCTTTATATATGGTTGTAGTATGCGTAAGTAGTTAGCTTGAAGAACTAAAGAAAAAAAAAATGTAGTTAAATATGGTAAATGTATTCAAACATGTTGTGTCTTTGAAACTTTCTTTCCACCCCATGGTTACTAATTTTGAATAAATTTTTAGAAATCCAATGACTTTCAATTGCCAAATGTGTAATAATTTTGTTGGCATGACCATATCAACAATCTTAACATATATAGATTTTTTAAAGAGAATCATCAATAAAACTTTTCTTCAATAATTGGTTTCACTTCTTCTGTTCTTATTAAAAAATTCAATGAGAATAAATCAATGAAAAAAAAAAAAAAACTATTTTAAGGTGATTGGAAGAGCATTTGGTGAGGAGCATTGTTTTGAATGAGAGAAATCCGTGGTTGAAAACTATTTTAAGAAGGTGACTGGACTAGAGTGCTTTCACCAAATGATGCACGTGGATTGAGCAAACAAGAACTGTTGACATAAAACCTACTTTTCCTTTCCCTCTCACAGACTTTTAAGAGCCGGCGTGCTTTCTTATTGGCGAGAATTTTCTTCCTCTAGTGTTGTCTCCTCACTAAGCACACTTTGAAATATGAAGGATGAAACTGAAATATATAAATTTGAACGATTTTAGAATAAACAATATTTGTTGCAAATAAAAAAAGAAGCTATTTGTGGGAGAACATATTTTGCCAAAATTGAATGAAGAATTGAAGCAATGTACAAGATTTGTCAACCTGTACACTAAGGTGTACCCAAAGAACGGAAGAGAATTAACATTGTAGAGTGTTTAAATGACTTTCCACGGTTCCTTAAAAAAAAAAAAAAATGAATAAATAAAGAACTTGAACCCATTAAATTAGTGTAAATAAACTTGAGCCCACTAAATTGAGCTTCCGATAATTAGGTTGTCGAAGTTAATGGAGTTCGACATTTATACCCTGTAAGAGGGGTTAACTTTAGCTCATTAAATTAATTTGGTGCAATCGAAAAGTCCAAAAATTGGTGGGTATGAAGAAATTATCGTCAAACGGGCCAAAATGAATTTTATTGAAGAGGCCCACAAGGAAGTTAACAAATTGGGTCAAGGAGGACCCATCAAGCATATATCTCTAAAAAAATCCCAACAAGCTCATCCGAAGGGGGTTTGATCATACGGGCATCCGAGAGAATTAATCGGCGCACACTCTTGAAGAGAGAGATCATTCTCAAAAGAGGTGAAACCCTCGAAGGAGATCCATTCTCCGAGGTAACTACTTTGTCTTGAAAAAGTTCGGATTCACGACGACATCAATGGAAAGAAACGACCATCTCTCATGAAAAAGAAAACAAAGCGACAAGGAAAAAGATCACATCGGTAAAAAATAAAATAAAATTTGTGGACAAATTACTTTTATACTTTGGGCAAAAAGAGCGATGACTTTGTCTTAATTTGATTCAATTAATTACAATTGTTAGTATTTTTTTATATATATAAAAAAAATGTACGTATAAATGGTTTGTCATATTTTTAGAAGAAAAATTATAAATTTGATCAATTCAATAACTTAACTTCAACTAATTCTATGATAATTTTTCTGTCAAAAATCTTAACAATGTTATCAATTGGACCAAATTGATAGAAAATCTAAAATTATGAATCAAAACTGAGGCAATTAAATGTAGAAATTAAAATGATGCCATAAGTAAAATTCAAGAATTTGGCTCCGTTTGGTTTAGTTTTTGAATTGAGTTTTAAGTTGTGTTTTGAAAGATAAGTTTTTAAAATGAGTTTTAAAAAGAGAAAACTTGTTTGGTTTTGAATTTTGAAAAGAGTTTTAAAAAGAGTTTTGAGTTGTATTTTGAAATTGTTTTGGGTTCATTTATTTTTTTAAATATTTAAAAAATTTATGTTTAAAAAAAAAATAATTAGTGTAATATTTTTTATTGTCAACATTTATTTTTTTTAATGTGCGTTGTATTTTTTAAAAATATTTTAAATATTTAAAAAAAATTAATTTTTTTTTATTTTATAAATATTTTAGTCTTTCACATAATATTTTAAATTTTAAATTTTTTTAAATTTTAAAAAATTTTGGGTAGCCTATAAATGTCTAAAGGGAATATTTTTTTTACATTTTAAAGTCCCTGGTATTAAAGTTTTATAAGATAAAGGACGTGTAATATTTTCATAATGGTAGGGGTTCGTCAACATTTTTCCAAAGAAATTTCAATCTAAAAAAATTTGAATTTTCTCTGTGTTTTGAAAATTTTCTGGTTCTCTCAATTTCCTTGATTTTTTGTGTTTTGAAACTTCCTTGGTTTGTTCACAAATTTCTCTGTGTTTTAACCAATTTTCCCTAATTTGAAATTTCTCTAATTTATTCACAATTTTCTCTATATTTTGACCAAATCAAAAAAAATTGAACATACTTAAAAATAAAAATGTAAAAGTTAGACCCCAACTCAACCCGTCTCTCTCCCTCTCTTTTATTTCTCTTTGCAATCATGATTGTCCTCTCCATCATCTAACTTTTTTTTCTACTAAACATGCCATCAAATTAACTTGCTATTTAACTAGAAATCTATAGAGGTCATAAACTGCAGATCAATTTATCTGAAATAGATGAACGATCCATAACAGGTCCAACGAATGAAATCAAGAATCAAACATAGAAATCGAATAACTAAATTAGTAAAGAAACTCAATACCCAGATTAAAATCAAAGAACCCAATTGGAAGAAACATAATCAACAACAGAATTTAAAGAAAGCTAATCCTAAAAAGCGAAGAACAAGAAAAATCAAGATTATAGTTTGGATGGGAAAAAAATAAAGGGATGAAAGAAACCCAATTAATTATAGAGAAATGTGAGATGAAAGAAGATAAAGTAACACACGACAATGGAAAGGGCATACAATTATAAGCAGAAATCAGATTCGAAATCCAAAGTACCTGCAAATTTGACTCAAGAACTCGAGTCTAGGTCACAATTGTGTTGATTTCAGGAGCTGCCAATGGCCACTTCGACTTGACGAAGGCTCGTCCCTTGCGATGGGTCGTCCTTCCCGATGGATAGTCGAACAGATCAAGATTCGAACTCGATTCCAGAAGCTGCGAATGGCCACTTCGACTCCACGGAATGTCGTCTCACGCGATGAGTCGTCCTTGAATGGGTACGGGACTCCAAACTACTAAAAATATATGGGTTCTGTTGTAGTGTGCACCCCCTGAAGGGTTGCACACCATGTGCACCTTATAACTCTTAAATTTATATATAAAATTTGATTTAAGAAAGACAAAATATATAAAAAAAATTACATATAATTATTGTATTTTTAATAAATAATATATTATTTTGTCTCGTGCATAGCACGTGTGATATGCTAGTTATTAGATGATGAAATAGAATCACTCCATTACAAATATGTAATAGAGAGAATCACAATCTGGGACGAAATTACGTGCCCCTCATTTTTTTTGAAGATTTATTATTAGGGTTCTGTTGTAGTGTGCACCCCTGAAGGGTTGCACACCATGTGCACCTTATTTATTGGCCATTGGATTACACAAATACATCCCAACTATTGAATTCTTTAATTTTGAAAAATTGAACCCTATGCATTGTAACTATTTCTAAAATATATATTGTGATGATTATTTAATTTTATAAAAATCACTTTACTAATTTACTATTTCATCCCATTATAATGATATGATGTCCATTTATTTGGTAATTTGAATTCTTCATGTAGCATCATCTTATTTTCTTTTTTCTTTTTTTTTTTGTTACAGGAAAACCCTTCCTACTCTTCCACAAGTCCAAGACAGCATCCCTTGTAGAGATCACCAGAGTGTCTTGTTAGCCGTTTCGAGTGAGGAGGCTACAACTTGAGAACTTGTCCCGATCTCTCAAGACAAACTCTACTTAAATCAAGACTTGCACAGTGGACAAGTATTGAACCCACACTAAATATTAATTAGACAACTTAAAATCTAGCTTTCTAACCAACTATGCTACGCTCAAAAAATTAACCCAAAAAAAAATTAAACCCGTGACCTGGGGCTTAATCTCCAGATTTGAACACGGTTTGGTACCATCTTTCAATTGCAAGTCCGCCGACTTATTTACGGATTTATCAAAAGACGACCAAATGAAGGAAATCACGCTATAGGACTTTTTCTGCGACATACCAAGAATCTTATCAACGTGAAAGGCCAAGACCAAGAATCTTGTCAACATGAAAGGTCATTGTGTTCTCATTTGGAGAGTAAATATTTTAGTTAAAAAAGCAAAATTTATTATAAATTGTTATTTTATTATTATTATTTTTTTTTATAAAAAATTAAAAAAGTATTAAAGTAATTTATTTCTAAACGAGACTTGAAATCTATTTTGAGAAGTGACTTATTTTTAACTTATTAGTTTATTATGAAAAAAATGTGTAAAAAAATAGAGAGATGATATGACTTAAATAAGTCAATAAACCAATAAGTTGACTTTTTTTTTGTTTTTGCCTTTCCTTGTTTCAACCTTAGGATAGTTTAAGCTTGAGATTGAGGTCCATGTCTAATGGTTTAATCCTCTCTTGCCTTAAACTAGCCCTTGTTTGACACTTCCTGACTCCCCATCTTATCAGCACACCAATGGTTTAATCCTCTTTTGAGGGTTCATTATCAATGGCATGACACTTCTCTCTTACCTTAAACTAGCCCTTGTTTGACACTTCCTTCCCTTTTAGAGGACTAACTCACCAATGGTTTAATCCTCTTTTGAGGGTTCATTATCAATGGCATGACACTTCTCTCTTACCTTAAACTAGCCCTTGTTTGACACTTCCTTCCCTTTTAGAGGACTAACTCACCAATGGTTTAATCCTCTTTTGAGGGTTCATTATCAATGGCATGACACTTCTCTCTTACCTTAAACTAGCCCTTGTTTGACACTTCCTTCCCTTTTAGAGGACTAACTCACCAATGGTTTAATCCTCTTTTGAGGGTTCATTATCAATGGCATGACACTTCTCTCTTACCTTAAACTAGCCCTTGTTTGACACTTCCTTCCCTTTTAGAGGACTAACTCACCAATGGTTTAATCCTCTTTTGAGGGTTCATTATCAATGGCATGACACTCTTAATTTATATGTAATCACTTGTTAGTAAAATTTTGAACTTTTTACAACAAAAATAAATTTTAAAAATGCTATTGACTAATCCATTAAACTAACGATTTTAAAAATTTAAAAATATTAACAATTTTAATCATTTTATATGTATATTTCGTGACTGAAGGCACTCCCAATTAAATAAAATTTTAAACTATTCGTAAGAAAGTAAAGTGCTATCGAGCCATTTCAATGTCAACAAAAAGAAAATAATATTACTAATAATAAAATAAAATCAATACAAAATTTACAAAATTCAAAGATGGATCTGAATTCGACTGATGGTGTGTCACTAATCGGATTTAATAAATTGACTTAAATTTCACTTTACATTATGTTTGTGTATTTTATGACTAACAGTGACACTAATACTAATAATGGCTAGAAGTTAAAGGATGGTAAATTTACTACACTAATACTGCATGTGTTTGGATACTAATAAGAATAAGAGTATTACAATTCTTGATTACAAAAAATGAAAAAGAATAATTGCATTGAATAGACAAAATTTGTTTTCAAATAAAGAAAGTTTAGTTATAGATATTGAAATTTCTTATTTTATAGATACGTGGAGAAAAACTGTACAAAAGAGGCTATCTGGGGATGCACAAATTGTGCATTGATGCAGAAGAAGGGGAATTAATCATGGAATCAGTGCATGGAGGAGAGTGTGGAGCTCACGTGAATAAGGTTATGTTAGCATGGAAGATTCTTCGACAAGGGTACTACTAGTCCACCATGGAAAGTGACTGTGTATAGCTTGTAAAGAGATGTCATAAATGCCAAGTCCACGCTAACCTCATGAATGTACCACCTTTGCAACTGCACAACTTGACTTCGCCTTGGCCTTTCTCGGTTTGGGCCATTGATGTAATTGGGGCAGTCACACCAAATCGAATGGACACGAGTGCATACTGGTGGTCATTGACTACTTCACCAAGTGGGTCAAAGCGAGTACTCAAAGCCTTGCACGTGGCCAAATTCATCAAAAACAACATCATTTGCAGATATAAGGTTCCAAATGAGATAGTGTCGGATCACGGTTCACACTTCAAAGAGGAGGTGGTTGATTTGCTCGATAAATAGAAGTGGTTGTTCTGTTTAAAACCCTAATCTAACCCAGTGAGCCTCTGTTTGGTTTCTAAGAAAACAAAGGATTTGTTTTTTTGAAGAGCAATCAACAAGGTACGCCTCCCTCTGATTATTTCAGAAACCCTCCCTCTTCTTCCCCATTTTTTGCTCTGTTTTCTCTCTCTGAATTTGTATTCCAGTCTGTCCTGGCTCACACTGATTTGAAATTTGTACGAATGAAGCAAGGCTTTGTAAGGATTTTATTCTATTTTGCCATTTATATATTTCAGTTGACATTTGTAATGAAATAATCAATTTTTACATGAATTGATATAGTATTTTGTAACCATTTTGTTGCTTTCATAACTTGTTCTTGATTTGTTGCAAAATATTTCATCTTATTTTGGCATTAAAATTATAGGGCTAATTATGTTATTTGAATTTTGATTGCATTTAAGATGTTTGTAAAAATGCGTAGTTTGTTAGCAATTTAAACAAAAGTATTTTGGAACTATATTTTCATTGCATTTAGATGTCATTGAAAACTTGTGATTGATTTAACATGTTCTCTAAAGATTTATCCCAAAATATATTTACTGATATTCACATGAAGCAACTATAACTTGTGGTTGGGACCTCCCAATTTGTAAGTTAAGGCAAATAGTTATTACAAGTGTTTTTGGTAATGTGTAGTACTTATTGTTCTAGTTGAATTAAATAGCCATCTGAATTAAATCTTTTGTTTGATTGGTTTTTAAATATATATATATATATATGTATGTATTGAAAAGCGAACGTAGTTCACATACAATAGAAATACTTCCAAAAATGTTAATCAAATAGTGCTTGAACTTCACTTGTATCCTTCTTTAAGCATGAGCAGTTGACAAGATAACGAGAAAGTGACTCTAACCAACAAAAACAACTTTGAAAAGCTAAAAAGAACTGAAGTATATGATTTTAAATTTTAGCTAGAAGGTAGTCGACGTGAAGCTTATGGTTAATAAAATGAATTTCCACATCCTTTTTCAAAAGTATATTGATGCTAAGAGAATCCATGAATTATTATCTTCCCTCTAAGCGTGGAGGCTTTCCTGGCAACCATGAAAGATTAGTGCGAAACATTAGAATTGAAGTAGTGGGTAGTGTGAGAAAGGGAAAATTTTTAATTTTTCTTCCCTTGTTTGTTTGCATGATAAATTTATCATGATAATGTTAGAAAATGTAAGATTATTAAATTTTGTATACAATCCATAGCAACATGGTAAGTTGCTTTTCAATTTCTTGTAAAATATACATAAATCTTTCTTGTAAAAAACAAAGAATGTTTTTTTCACTATTTTGTCACTTTTGATTTCCTATCTAAACATGCAACTTTTTACACTTGGTTAATTTTGATCTAATGAATTGTACTTTGTTTTTCGAGTAACGTTCTTATGATAAGGGATGTGCATAGTAGCATTTCCTCTATATATGTATATTATATACTTGTAAAATTTATCTTACAAATGCTATATTTTTTGGGACAAGTATCTTAGATGATTGGTTTTAGTTGGATTGGTTATATACATATGCCTAAGAGGAGGGATGAATATCATCAGGATAGTGTAATTTAGTAATTTCAATTTAGGGAACTACATCCCAAGGACATTAGGGCTGTAATTAATAAATCAGTGAGAACTTTTTTTTATAATTACAACTAAAATGAGAAGGAGAAAAATAAATATAAAGAGGTGGAAATCACCTATTTGATTTACCAAAATATCATTTTCTTCTTCCTTTTTCCTTCCATTTGCTTTGGAAATTTGGTCACTGAGTCCCATACAACCAATTTCCTCCCTCCTTAACCAACCCTAACACCTTGCTAGCCACCACCAACCCCTCACCTACTTGTCCCTTTCCCCCTCCACTACTTGAAACCCCTTCCCACCCATTTCCATCTGAAAAATCTAGAAATCCCCTAG